CTTGCCTTAGAGAGACTGCTTTGCTCTAAATCACTTCCATCTACAGGTGATAGTTAATTGCCATACAGCATAGTAGCTTTTCCAGAAAAAAATATTCATAGTGACTCACAAGATTAAAAACTAGATACAAGTAAAAACACAAGCAATTAAAATATTAAAACACAGCTATACACACACACACACACACACGATTGAATTGAAAGGAATTTTAAACAGAAAATATAGCACACAAATGCCCCTACTAAAAACCATTTATCACCAGAGAGAACCATGCCAGAAATGAATAAATGAATAAAATGGTTGCCTATTAATAGAAAGATAAAAGAGAGGTAATATTTATTTATTTATTTATTTATTTATTTATTTCACAGTTTTCTATACCGAGCTTCTCAACCTCATTGAGGGACTCAGCCCGGTTTCCAGCCATAAAAAACATATACACTCATTAAAATATCATATATCACAATTACAAAAACAACTTTAAAAACACTATATATAAAACTACAGTGGTCAGTCGTCCTATTAAGGTGGATCTACATCAACTTCCATCCAGGGTCCTCATTCATCGAAGGCCTGACTCCACAGCCACGTCTTCACCCGTTTCCTAAATGTTAGGATGGATGGGGCGGTTCTGGCCTCCAGAGGGAGAGAGTTCCAGAGTCGCGGGGCCACCACCGAGAAGGCCCTGTCCCTCGTCCCCACCAGACGCGCTGCGAGGCCGGTGGGACCGAGAGCAGGGCCTCTCCAGATGATCTTAATAATCTTGATGGTTCGTAGGGGAGAATACGTTCGGAGAGGTAAACAGGGCCGGAGTCGTTTAGGGCTTTATAGGGCAACACCAGCACTTTGAATTGTGCTCGGAAGCTAATTGGCAGCCAGTGGAGCTGGCGTAACAGCGGAGTGGTGTGCTCCCTGTACCCAGCCCCCGTTAGTAATCTGGCTGCCGCGCGTTGGCCTTGCTGCAGCTTCCGGGCAGTCTTCAAAGGCAACCCCACGTAGAGAGCGTTGCAGTAGTCTAAGCGGGATGTAACCAAAGCGTGTACTACCGTGGCCAAGTCAGCCCTCCCAAGGTACGGACGCAGCTGGCGCACAAGTTTTAATTGTGCAAATGCTCCCCTGACCACCGCTGAGACCTGGGGTTCCAAGCTCAGCGATGAATCCAGGAGAACTCCCAGACTGCGTACCTGAGCTTTCAGGGGGAGTGTGACCCCGTCCAGCACAGGCTGTAACCCCGTACCCTGTTCGGTCTTACGACTGACCAGGAGTACCTCTGTCTTGTCTGGATTTAGTTTCAATCTGTTGTCCCTCATCCAGTCCGAGACAGCGGCCAAGCACTGGTTCATGACCTGAACAGCCTCCTTAGTGGTAGGTGGAAATGAGTAATAGAGTTGGACATCATCTGCGTACAGATGACATCGCACCCCAAAACTCTGGATGATCTCTCCCAACGGCTTCATGTATATGTTAAACAACATAGGGGACAGTATTGAGCCCTGCGGGACTCCACAGTGCAATGGCCGAGGAGTCGAGCAGGAGTCCCCTAGTGACACCTTCTGGGAGCGACCCTCGAGAAAGGACCGGAGCCACTGCAAGGCAGTACCCCCAAGACCCATTCCCGCGAGGCGTCCCAGAAGGATACCGTGGTCGACGGTATCGAAGGCCGAAGAGAGGTCCAGCAGAACCAACAGGGACACACTCCCCCTGTCCAGTTCCCGGCGCAGATCATCAACTAAGGCGACCAAGGCTGTCTCAGTACCATGTCCTGGCCTAAAGCCAGACTGTGACGGATCTAGATAGTCCGTGTCCACCAGGAATTCCTGGAGTTGCGAGGCCACCACACGTTCCAGGACTTTGCCCAAGTAGGGGAGATTGGAAACTGGCCGAAAGTTGACGAATTGAGTGGGGTCCAGTGATGGTTTTTTCAACAGCGGTTTGATGACAGCTTGTTTTAAGCTGGCTGGAATCTTGCCTTCCCGAAGTTTCTCCAATTTTACAGAGAGTAGTCAGTAGAAAAGTCTTCCTCAGCATCCTCATAGCATGTCTGTAAGGGCAGGCTCCTGATTAGATATGATCTCAAATAGCGTGAATCCAACAATTGGGCTCTTACAGATACCTGAAAACTAATTAGATAGTAAATTCTGAGTGGCATTACACATTACTCTTGAAGGAGTGGCAGACCCCAGTCCCCATGCCTAAAAAAATGGGCCTAGCAAATGCTACTTTACCAAAAGACACATTAGATTACTATGCTAAACAGTCTAACTTGCCACACAAGTACTGGATAGATAACATTTTAAAAATTCATAGCTGCAATGTGTTTTGTCTAATAGGGAAATTTCATTTTATGGCATACTCAGTTGCTTCCAATTGATGAGCGATGAATAACACACTTGCTCAGCAGCTGGAAAAAATGTTGATACTACACTGCTACCTTGTGGAATATATACCAAATCACACTCTTGGGCTCAAGGTCAGGATTGGGCAACCTTCCTTATGCTCTCTTTGGGTGAATGTGTGTGTGTGTTCAAGTTGCCTGTGATGACTACTGCAACCCCATGCATTTCATAGTGTTTTCTTAGGTATCACCAGAGGTGACTTTGACAGTCCCTTCTTTTGAAATACAGGTTACACTACGTGCTATTCATTGTCAATCTCCCATCCAAGTACTAACCAGAATGGAATTGAAGTATGGCATCTATATTAATTAATCTACAGTCATTTTTATCCTTTCCTGTACATAGGCCCTAATACAGTGACATCTCTGCTTCATCCATTTAACAGTGAAATTGAAAAAATACACTTCACATTCTTTCAGTTTAGTGATATTATAATTCAGACAAATGACTCCTGTATCACAGCTGCTTGGAAACCACTCTGGGAACATTTGTGGTTGCAAGGGCATAAACACGACAAATAACACTAAATACATGGTCTTGACATTTTCTCTATCAAATTACCATGAATATCGGCTGAGACTTCAGCAAAGGATCACTGCCTTGTTGCGGCACTGGAGCTTGAGCACCTCAATGACACCAAGAACAAAACCATGAAGGGACACCCAAAACGGGACGGTCATGGCAGAGAGGTCAGACCAAATGTGATCCCTGGGGAAGGTAATGGCAGCCCACCCCAGTATTCTTGCCATGAAAACAAAATGGATCAAGAGTTGGAAGCGACTGAACAAATAAACAACATAGGCTGAGAACCATGTGATCCCAACGACAGATCTCATCATCACTCACTAGTAGCAATGGTGGTTGATACTGATGGGAATTGCCATCTACCAGTTTCTGGAGACCTACACATCCCACATCAGTTTTAGAATTTCATATGGAGATTGTTCATAAGACACTCCTGCTTTTGATGTAACATTTGACACAGCATATACCTTGCCTGTTACAAGGTTCTGATTGGTCAAAGCCTTCATTTACTGGGAGCCGCTCTGAATCCCCTCCCAGGTGAGATAAGAGTGGGGTAGAAATACAATAAATAAATATACTAGCTCCGAGCCTTCCTTCCCTAGGAAAACCCCATGGAATGCCTGGGGTCACCATAATTGGACAGGTTATTTGAAGATGCACACACACACAATCTTTATAATGTAGTGCAACATGCACTGGCAAGAATGTTCAAGTTTCCTGCGAAGGCATTATTGTTAGGTGAAAGTATGACATCATGGGGAAAATCTCAACACTCTTTCTCTGCCTTTTATGTTGCTGCCAAAGTTATAGCAACTCTAACTTTGATTTAACTTTTGTCTAAAGGGCGTTTGGATTTGCCTTTCCCTTCAAGGGTGAAAGTGTGTAACATGTCGCTCAATGGGTTTCTAAGTCCAAGAGGGGGTTTGGACTCTGGTCTCCAAAGGGAATAGTCCCAACCAGAACACTTCCCTGGCTTCTAGAATTATTACATCTATAGCTTAAAATGGCTTTTTTTCAATTGTGATTTTTGCAGAACTTCTCATTACTTCTTATGGAACTGTATAGTTCCAAGGAACTTGTACCAAGAAATTGACGAGAGATCATCTGAACAGTCCTGCAAGTATCATATGCAAAAGACTTCTATTTAACTTTGTATGTTTACTTAATTCAAAATATTTAATCTTAATATTTCAGTGCCAGACAAAAACACCATCATTTAGGAAGATATCAAGGACCAATTTGTGGTAAGTCTCAAGAGGTTCATGATTCTAAGATAATACATGTAAGAAGCATTGCTGGGAGGAAAGTTGGAATGAAAATTCTTCAACTTTTGAAAAAAAATCATTTCATATTTCAGTATTTTTTCATACTTCCCTTTGTTGTTGCCAGCAATAATCCTGCAGTGCACTCACAATTTAACATCTTCCAAGGGTACAGAATTGTGCCTGTGAATGGGGCGTCATGAGACATTATAGATGCTTTCCCCAATTTTGTTCTTGAAGCAGCCCTTAGACACACACTTTCAGAAGCATTTGTTCAGCCAGTACCAGAATCTGGCTCTTTCACTATCCATAGGAGTCATTTGGCCTGCCCTGTGTAGGCAACAGTGTGCAAACTACTCCTGTTGTTTTATTAGCCTGCATGGATATCTTTCCTTCTAGATAATGGCAATGTGCATTACTGTGTTCTGAGCCAACTGCAGAAGAGATGGGAGGCAGGCTCCATTTAGTGCCTTATTAGGAATTCCCCATATAGTACTGCTGTTGGACCACAGGAAAAAAACTATTCATGCCAACTGTCTTGAAATCCTACAATACATCTCTATATCATTGACATTAATTATGCAGCATAATACAAATGAGAAATGAGAAGGTTTTTTGAAACGGAAAGATGCATTAGGTCTACAGCCTGAAAATCAGAATGAAGGAACTTACCTGAACCAAAACACAACAAAAATTGCAATAGTGACAAAGATGATGCTGGAATTTCCTTTATTGCCCTTCTCTCCTCTGGAAATAATGGAAGTAAAAGTCATTTTTATAACTCAAAAAGGAAGCACAACAAGGAAAAACACTAAAATATGACACATTGCTTCTTCGGTTTATTGGACATATTTAATAAATAAATTCCCTTGCGCTATCTGTATTCAAATACACTTTATTAAAGGAATGTATCGAAATATGTTTTCCATGGCATCTTCTACTCCTCTCATGACATCTGTTGAATTGATAAAAGAAGTGTCATGTCACAGGTGGGAGACAGTTGAATACGTCTCACAATATCCAGTTCAAAACCTGCTACTTTTAGAGGAACAGGCGGTATTTTTCCCTGTTCTTTTAGCTGATTTAGCAGCTCACAACTTCACTGGCAGCTACACTGTTTTGGTCTGTGTCAGAACAATGTCAGGTTCTTATAATCAATCCTCCGTTTCTCTTTCCTCACAGTGGCGCCCCTTCTCTTTGTTGGGTAATTTTACAAAAAAGGAAACAGTCTCTTCTTTAGGATGTAAAGCACGGTGGCCAAAAATAAGGCAAGGGCGAGGAAGATGAGCAGTTTATCCGTCAGCTCCCTACGGTTGTACTTCGTGATGAGTTTTCGTCCTAACTGTATCGTCCCAGACATGGATTTGAATTCCTCATTGGCATCCACAATGGTCCGTGAAGAATTGACTGGAATTGAAAAATATATATTTCAGGGCATCTAGCAAACTTATAAATATGGTGAACATCCCACTTGAGTCCTGAAAAAAGGTACAGCATACAATGTACTAAATTGGCTCTAAATTCCAGTAGCAGATTGCATAATTTTTCAATCTAAGGGTTAATTGAGGACAAGTTAGGAAGGGAAAATATTTGCCATCATCTGTGAACCCACATGGCATTGGTTTTCTTGTGAAGTCCCATTCACAGCGGTGTAGTTAGGGTCAATGATGGAGTAGGAAGCAATTATGGATGGAGTTGGAATTCGGTAGAAAAATGCCGACTTTGACCCTGGTCACAAAAAAACCCACCCTATAATATTAAATGCTTAGTAAATTGTTTCCTATTATGTTGATATTTGTCTGTTTTTGAAGGCATTAATGTTTGCTGTTGTATTTTGGAATCTGCCCTTAGTTCCCCTTGGAGGAGAAAGGGCGGAATATAGATAAAGTTATTATTATTATCATCATCATCATTATTAATTATTTATTTCACAGCAATTATTTTGTTCAGAAGTTTTAATCAAATACATATATGTTCTCTCAATAGAAAGAGCCTGATGATTTACGTGATGAAATGACTTGCGTTACCATTTCACTACAAGTAAATTAATTAGTAACAACTGATGTATATTTGGACAGCAGAAAAATAATGGAATTAAAAGTTTGGCAGATCAACTCCATAGCTTTGATAAAAACTATTAACATTTTTCGATGAACAGCACTATCATGGAAATTCATACATAAAAAAAATATTTTTTAAAAAAGTGTTTTAGCTAAAGTTATTCAAGGTACATTGAAAACATACAGAGCTTTAAGATCCATTTAAAATAACAAGGAAAAGAATCAAAGAGCTAATCTAACTTCAGGCTAAACATTCACTAGTACAGCTACTCCTCCTCCCCCCCCCCCCCCCCCCCCCCCCCCCCCCGTGTCCTAGCAGCCCCCAAAAAACAGGTCTGGAAAGTTCCCCACCACTTACGACCAATCTTTAAAGCACATGGAATAGACTGTCAGGAGAATGAAGACATATGCCGCTTATAGTCTAATGAATGAAGCAGTTCTGCCAAATCAAGGAGCCCCCACTGACTCTAACCCAACAGATTAGATGGAAATATACCAATTGAAAAAAACAGAGAAAAAACAATTTGCAACAGGAGTAAATACAGAGCTAGGGTCAGGAGTACAAGACCAGCTGCACAAGCTCAGTGAGACATTGTAATGTGATGGTTATCATCTTGTCACTGGTTTTTATTTTAGAACAGAGTCAAATACATGCAGATCAAAAACAAAACAATAAATCCAGGTTTCTGTAAGACAATCTGGACCCATTTGCAACCAAACCTGGGAAATAAAATTAGCATGTAAATCAGAGGTTTTTAAAAAAACATAACATACGAAAAGCACCTGGTAAAAGAAATCAAGACGTACTTAATTACCAACAATAACGATGCTATTTGTACACCAGTATCTGTACTGAGCACAAAATACCTTGTGAAAAGTAGCCCTAAAATTAACTACCTTGAAGGCTTCAGTTTCAGATCTCTAAAGTAAATTAGAAAACAAATACAAATCTGTAACTATCAAAATCTTAAAACGTGAACATAAAGGTGCTGCTATTTTTGTACAAATGGTCTGAATAACATATTTCAATGCACATGATCTTAGCCAAAAGGCTGAGAAGCGATATTTATGTATTTTTTTTGTTTTTGTCTTTTACTGTTGATATGGTCAGTGGAGTAATCAATAAACTTTACTACTTCTTGTCATATTTCAATGCAGATATATTGCTTCTTGGAATGAAACATCATTATAACCAACTCATATTTTTCAGCAATTTTATCTTAGATTGAAAGTGATTTGTCAGTCGTGCAGTATTTGAAAGATTGAGGCTGCTTAAGTGATAGCACTTCGTTTCTAGACCTCAAAATTAGGTTATTTATTGCCTATTGCAGTAAGAAATGCTCCAACCTTTTTCTGGTGCAGCAACATTTAAATGCCAGATGAAGCACAGCTGGCTTGTTCATGCAAGTGATATTTGTGAGCTCTGTCCCAGATAAATAGCACAGACTCTTTATCCAGATGTTGGGGGACAGAGTCACTGCCAAAGTTGTCACTTAGTGGGAGAGGAAACACATACTGATTAACTGCAGGAAAGGAGAGGAGAGGAGGAAAAAGCTGCATTTAAATCATCCCATCCATCTCTCCCAGAAAAGCAAAGGCAGAAGGCTCAGATGGTCCACATCAGATTTCAAAATGTCCTGCTACTAATAATCAGTTTGACCACAGTTCTGATGTAGTTTTAAAAGTGAGAGGGCTACAAGAAACTCAGGTCAATTTCTGATTTTTTTTTTCATCTAAAGCTCAAGAAGCTTTCAGAAGTACTTTGAGAGCTTATTTGGTTCTGACATGAGTTAATGTAAGCCAATGTATTTTTACCTTCACAACATTTCTATGACTGGGTAACTGAAAAAATAAATGCAATAAAATAACAGTAAAATAACATCCATGGAGGATGAGTCTTCTTTCTGGTTTGCTATTCATCATGCAGACAGAGAGACATATAGACATATACAAAAAAATTACATAGCTGGGTTTGTTGTGATGCTAACTCATAAACATATATTTAAAATTCATATTTTACATTGTTATTTACCAGTATAACCCAATTGGCAACTGGTCCATAAGCAGTCTGTCCCCAATCTTCAGGACTTTTTTCAATGAAAGAAGAAAACAACTATAGCCAGCGAGCACAAATACAATGATCTTGGATGTGTGTGTGTGTGGGGGGGGGGGGGGGGCTTACTAATCCCTTTACATCAGATAATCTGAGAAGCAGTTTCTCACTTAAAAAGCTAAAATGCAGCAGTTGTACAAACCTACCAAGAGCCTAATCAATGACATGTTTATGTTTTCAAAGTGGGTTTTACAAGCAACCAACTGCTCTTTTGAAAACAGCTTCTCGTTCTTTTGTACAAATACTTTGCAGAAAACACTGAAACTGGAAAGAAGCTCAGCAAGAAATCCTCAATGGGAAGATAAGGTAAAGCAACACCTTGCCCAGCCATACTGGCATTTCTTATACAAACTGAAGTGTATTCTCAGCACATTTTCAGGCTTATTATGGTGAGATCCCACAGGCCCGGAAAGCCTATTCCATGGGACCAGAGTCCCAGAATCTTCTACACAGTAGCTGGGTGTCCCTGGTTACAAGCAAGGTAACGGATAAAGGGCTCCCAAAGTCTGAGATGGTTTATTTAGCTGAATTTATATTTCATTTTGAAATTCATACCTAGATGTAGTTCTGTTTCAGGAAAAACATAATGAATTGCAGCAAAAATCTGTTAACCAGATTTTATGTGTTCTAACACCTGAGTAAGGCAAATACATGAGTGTCTCACACATGACAAGTAAGGTAAGCACATATTTATCTTCCCTTACACTCGGAAGATGCTTGTCTGAAGACGAGAGCCTCATCTATGCAGGCAGGTTTCTTACATGGTGGGAAACCGATTTCCCAGTTTTTTTTAATTGTCCTACATGCAAATGCTCTGCTGTTCATAAAGTATTCTTCAAATGTTATGGGACACAGAAATGATGACAAAGTAGGGCTAGCATCCTTCATCTCCTCATGCGTCACTCAATTTATGCAAGAATTCAAACCCTGGTCTCTCAAAGTCCTTATCCAATAGTCAAATCACAATACCATACTGGCTCTGTAACAGACATTTCCTAGGATGTATTAGCATTCGGGCACCATGTATATACTCATTGACTACATACAGAGCGCTGTGTGCCTCACAGATATCTCGGCTGACAGAGATGAAAAACAATGTCTTCTTCCTTAAGGCAGCCTTGCCAAATTCTTTGGGGGAGGGGAGGTGTCTTCAATCCCCAGGTGGTGGGTAAGGTGATGGCCGTGAGAAAATATCATAAGGAAGGTGTCAGAAACAGCATATTATGCACTAAGATCTACTTTTTATCTATGGATCTAATTTTGTTATTTACTTACCCAAGGTTTGCATAGTTTCTTCACTTTGCCGGACCTGCTGAGACATCATTCTGCTAATTCCCATCAGGCTCTCTGTGATGTTACTTGCTCCCTCTGCCAAGCTTTCCTTAGTAGTCTTCCTTTAAAAAGAGAAAGTAACATGAGGATACAAATGCAACCTATAGAGGTGGAAGATGGTATCAAGCAGAGCAGCATTCATACTAAAATAAAGCGGGGGGGGGGGGGAATCTAACTTCTTTATGTTCTCAATATTATACATGAAAAATTTAATATTATGAACTGGGCACAATGTCACAATGTCGCCTCTTAAAAGTGAGAGCTACATTTCAAGAAACAAGATTAGGAATGAACCTTTAAAGATTATTCTAAAAATGCAGCATAAAGGTCTATATTACTGTGTTCCCTCGCTACTTCATGGTGCGCTTTATGCGGACTCACTGTTTTGCGGGGTTTTGAAAATATTAATAAAAATATAAAATATTTACATCCAGTAGAAGCCAGGGACCCTGGAAGTGTGACAGCCTGAGGTGTGCCGGGGAAGGCCTGCCTCCCTGGCCTCCACAGACCCCGGAAGTGCAATGGCTTGAGGCACAGCGGGGAAGGCCTGCAGACCAGGGAGGCAGGCAGGCGCTCTCGGGATGGGCCGGGAGGCGGGTAAGGAAGCGCGGATAGAAAATAATATATAAAAAATATAAAATAATATATAAATATTAAAATTAATATAGTGTCCCTATTTCGCAGATTATCACTTATTGGGGGTGGTCCTGGAATGGAACCCCCGCAATAAGTGAGGGAATACTGTACTAGATACACTTCCCAAAGAGAGCCAGTGTGGTACAATGGCTTGAGCATTGCACTATGGATCTGGAGACCAGGGTTTGAATCCCTGTTTGGAGATGAAAATCTGCTGGATAATCTTAGACAAGTCTCATTCTCTCATCCTCAGAGAAAGGCAAAAAAACACTCTTAAGAAATCTTGCCAGGAAAATCCTGTGACAGGTTCATCCTAGGGTCCCCCTAAATCAGTAAAGACCTGAAGGTACACAGCAACAACAAAAACACTTCCTAAAGTAGACCAACAACCCCTCTCAGTATACAATACGAGGGAAGAGACAGAATAGTGAGTGTCTGGAAGCAGTGAGAAGAGTTCAATTCCCAAACCTTGGTCCTCAGGATATTTTAAATTTCCAGAAGCCTTAGCCAACTTGACCAACACTGAAGACTCCTGGGAGCATAAGTCCAAAACACCCACAAGACCAAAGTTTGGGAACCAGTGCCCTAATACTTATCAAAGTGGGCTGTAAAGGATGATAGGAAGAATTTAACGGGTTAAGTTCAAAAGAAGCAGTGCAGGTTACCCTGGACTGGAAAGTGACTTTTTTTTTTAAAGAAAGCTTAACAGAAACAACTTTGTGATTAAACATTATAGGAGAAAAACTCTCTACCTTTGTCGTAAAGGATCTCCCCCTCGCAGCAGTTCATCTTTCTCAGCATTGTCAATAGCAATTTTACAAGCTAGGTTTGCCTTCCTCCAAGCTGTCTGATTGCTGAAATTATTAATATACTGACATTTAGAACAATGGTGGCTGTGATGGTAAGGACAGAAATATCTATCAATGTATTATATACAAAACAATTAAGATAACAAAATACATAACATTATCATGCATCATTCCTCTCCATAATAAACAATGATTCTTAACAGAGAGAGTATATTGACTGTTCATTGACAGCCAAAGAATGTGAGTTCTTTAGTATATTACCTTCACAACAAAAAATGTTTCTTATGCAATTGTCCATTCAGCAACGAACAGGCTTGAGAAAATCAGTCATAGCCAGTTCCATCCACTAAAATGGGAACATGGTATCTACAACTTTCTAGATATTATTCACCTCCATTTCTCATTAGCTTGTGAAATTCAATTATTCTTTATGAAATTGCTGTTTGAGAGATTCACTGGAGAGTCTGAGGCTAAAAAAACAGGACGTCATTCATGAGATGTCAAGTGTTTTTAAGTCTTACACACTGCAATCAGAGAAAATGAAAGCTACATATAATTCTTTGAAAACATAATGCAGCAAAAGTCCTGCATCATCTTTTTACACACAAGCAAAGTTCACTTTAGAAATAGGACAATTTGCACTTGCAACTGTGCTTAGCCACTGTGAGGTTGTGTAGATCAGATAATTTTTGTATAATCTTCATCGCTAAAAGTATGTCTATGACCTGTACACAAATTAAAATTACTGTTTGGCATTTAAAAGAAGCTACAGCTGCCTGCAGGAAATAGAGATAGGATAGCCAACCCTAAAAATCATATACTAAGGGATAGCAGCATTCCTTAAAATTGGTTTGTTTGCTCTCAACAGCTTGAGATTAAAAAAAAATACTAATAGATTAGAAAGTGATTATGATCAGAATCTTTACTCAAATGTAGGTGTTTTGGGGGAGGGGGCAAAGCTACAAATGGAAGACTGGACTACAGATCTAATTTTGACACTAGCTTGTGTGAATAACAGCATTATACCAAACTCTTGAGACTGACTTGTTTGCCTGCTATTATGAATGACTTGCAAGTGAAAAATAGTTACATAAACATATATCAGAAATACAATGCTATCTATGTTTATAGTCTCACTAACCTGAGCATTTGCTTCTTATGGTTCTCTACTTCTTGGAGCAACACTTGCTTTTCTGACTCTTTATCTTGTTCCTTAGCCATCTGTTCAAGCTCCTAGGCAGACCCACAAACAATTATTAATTCATCTGTGATTTTTAAATAGAGATAGCATTTTAAAGAGCAGGTAAAGTGTTTGTGCCTGCTTTCAATCCTGTGGCTGCCTCCTGCAGAATTCTGGGATTTGTAACTGACTGAGGTGTTATGGAAATTCCCTCCAAAAGGGCAAAAGCATGTAAAAAACAAACAAACAAAGGCACAGAAGAATAGCTTCTTGTCTATCTATTTCCTCGCTGACTTGAGCAGGGTGTGGTTGAACTCCAGCAGGAAGAGCCTTTTAACTGCTCAGCCAAAGACATCCTGGCCTTCCCTAAACTACAAATACCAGAATTTCTGCAGGAGGCAGCCACAGGATTGAAAGCAGGCACAAATGCTTTGCCTACTCATTAAAATGCTATGTGATGAGGTTAATAGTCTTTAGGAGTATGTATTCCATATAATTCATCTTTTCAAATGGTAGAATCCTAGAAGCTTAAATTATTAGTGTAGCTTGGGCTCCTTTCTTTGGTGAACCAGCTATCTTTAGCAAGCTAAAAGGATCTAGAGCCCAGACAACTATGCCACTATATAAAACAACTGCATACTATGGTGTTATTTCTAAATATGAGCAAGTTTAGGAGATCCCCATGAAAAGCACCTCCTCCATGCCCAGCATAAAAATGCAGAAAGCTGCTGCAGGAGTGCTAGACATTTCGTCCTCCTTTGCCAGTGTCCAGTAGGCTGGTAAAAACTACAATGAGCCTACAAGCCTTATTTACACATTTCCCCATGGGTCGTCACCATTCCTCACCTGGATTCTAAGTCGTAAATGGTGAAATTTCTCCTTCACTTTGGCATTGAGTTCCGTAAGTGTACTTACAGGCCCCATGCAATCTCGGATATCCTAAAATAAACAAGTCAAAGAAAAATCATATAGTCACTTGCTTCTATCATATTGTTATGTAATGTAATGATGCCTTACGAGCAATGTAATGTTATACACTGTGGCTAAGCACTCAGACATTGCTGAATGCCACATTATCTAGGTGTGGACTTAGATAACCCAGTTTGAAGCAGATATTCTAGAATATAGGGTTGTGTGGAAGGGTCCTCAGTCTTCTGGCTGAACCACCATCATGAATTAGGCATGATGGTGAACACTGTTGATAATAGGACCCCAGACATAATGTAGAATTAACTGAGAAGTGGCAAGATATGCACAATCACTCAATCATGCCAGTTCCAATATACTTGCATTTAAAATGCTACAGGCATCTCAGGGAAAAGAGACACTAAACCAGTGGGATATTTAAAAAGTAATGAGTTAACTAAATAACAAATATAAACTATTTATTTATATTTTTAAAGTTAGCAACCTCAAATCAATTGCAAAGTGTAATCAGATCCACAGACTTTGTGAAAACTAGTCCCAAATGTTAAGAAACCCCTTTCACAGAAACACAAGGTAAATTGCTGTATTTTACTAGAAGAATAACGAACTATGATTAGTAGTATGTGAACTAGATTTAATTGATTCAGCGCCATTAAGACTAAGACTAGTCCAATTCCTACACTACAAAGCCACAATGGCAACCTTGTGTGCTTGTTTGCTAGCCATGGAAATGAATGAATCATAGAGAGAGACCTCATGGGCCTAAACGGTTCCGGCCCAAAATACCTTGAGTACCGCATCTCGGCCTACGAGCCCACGAGGACCTTGAGATCATCCGGGGAGGCCCTTCTCTCGGTCCCGCCGGCCTCACAGGCACGCTTGGCGGGGACCAGGGAGCGGGCCTTCTCGGTGGTGGCCCCCCGGCTGTGGAACTCCCTCCCCGCTGAAATTAGACAGGCGCCTTCCCTTATGGCCTTTCGCAAGGGCCTAAAAACCTGGCTCTTTGAAAAAGCCTTCGATTAAGTGCTATGCTTGGTATGACCACCGGAATGGACTAGGACTACGAGACTGATTATGACCCAAACAAGACGAAGCGGATTTTTAGCTTAATTAGTTGTGTGTTAGTAAGATGTGTGTTATGTCTCTGAATTTACTGTAAGCGTTGTCTTTATGGTCTATGTTTTGTACACCGCCACGAGTCGCCTTCGGGCTGAGAGTGGCGGTTAATAAATGCAAATAATAAATAATAATAAATAAATAATAATTCTAGTCCAATCCCCTGCCAAGAAGCAGGAAAATCACATTCAACGCCCTCCTGACAGATGGCTATCCTGCCTCTGTTTAAAAGCCTCCAATGAAAGAGCTTCCACCACACTCTGGGGCAGAGAGTTCCACTCTTGAACAGCTTTCACAGTTAGGAAGTTCTTCCTAATGTTCAGGTGTAATCTCCTTCTCTGTAGTTTTAAACCATTACTCTGCGTCCTAGTCTCCAGGGCAGCAGAAAACAAGCTTGCTCCCTCCTCCCTATGACTTCCTCTCACATATTTCTACATCTCCTCTCAGCCTTCTCTTCTGCAATCTAAACATGCCGAGCTCTTTAAACCACTCCTTATAGACTTGTTCTCCAGACCCTTGATCAATGAGAAGAATCATGAGCAAGAACCATAACTGCACAAAAAGTGGAGAACTGGAATCCTATCACTGACTGCCCTGTCTTTAGTTATCTGTGCGGAGGCCTCTTACCATCAGAGCCACAGGATGGACCTTCTGCAGGGGAATAGGCCAAAGCCCTCCTGACAGAGGTTTGAGGATTGGCTTGACCTCTGGAGACCAGGGTTCGAATCCCCACTAGGCTGTGGAAGCCCACTGAGCAACTCTGGGCCATTCACACTCTCTCAGCCTCAGAGGAAGGCAAGGGCAACCCCCTTTGCCAACAAATCTCCCTAATAATAATAAAGAGTATAGTGTCTGAATTGTTTTTAATACTTTGTTAATAAGCTTGAATGAGACTTTAACTTAATAGTTTAATAACGGTAACACTTAATTCTATTTTAATATTTCCATTTTGAAGGCTTCTAAATCGCTTAGTTAATAACAAATAAAAACATTCGTTATAATGCTGGCTGGCGCTTTTTGGGGAGGAAAACCATTTTTGGAAATTATGATCAATATGGTTCTAAAAACATTCCTCAAAAAAGTGGTTTCTGTGAGTAGAATTGTAGGGCTGTGAGCTGTTCTCCATCCTGAGAGAAAAAGGAGTACTAATGAGTACAGCAGCAACAACAACAGCAACAGCAACATGGCATGACAGACGTCTGAAAGGACTTGGAGAGGCCTTGGAAACCAATGTCCTCACTGCGGAAACCACTTGGAAACCAATGTCTTCACTGGGAGAAGGAGCCCGCAGTGGCGCAGTGGGTTAAAAACTTGTGCCCACATGACTGATGACCTACAGGTCGGAGGTTCAAATCTGGGGAAAGCGCAGATGAGCTCCCTCTCTCAGCTTCAGCTCCCTATGCGGGGACATGAGGGAAGCCTCCCACAAGGATGGCAAAACATCAAAACACCCGGGCATCCTCTGGGCAACGTCCTTGCAGACGGCCAATTCTCTCACGCCAGAAGTAACTTGCAGTTTCTCAAGTCGCTCCTGACACGAATCCCCCCGCCCCCCCCCAAAAAAACCTGTGGTAGAACATGTGGATCAAGAACAGGGCTTCACAGCCACTTAGGGCCCCACCGCCAAGACATTTCACTTGGAGGGCCATCATCCTCGAGCCATGAGGGACCGCTTAAGGAAAGGGAGAGGCAGAACGTACAACAGGCGTCATTTCCTTCAAGGGAAAGGGCTGTCAGGAGAAGTGCCCTGATCAGAGCTCTTCCGAGGAATAACAGGCACAGGTACGAAACGCCCTCGGTCCGCGAGAGGTGGGTAAAGCCTTTACCTGCACCGCCGCTTTAATCTCCAGGTCGAATTTGACAATCTCCTGGTTGCAGACGCGGACCGGAACGTCAACGGCAGCCGCCATCTTGGAACGAACTACGGCGAGCGAAAGGGAGCGCGGCGGCGTTTCGAAACGCGTTTTCTCTGCTCCGCCCTGAAGGCGGCGCCAGGAGGAGGAGGAGGAGGAGGCGGGCTCTCCAAAGCTGCGTGATTGACATGGGGAGAGGCCACTCATAAGGCTCAATCTCTCTTGCTGTTTTGCATGTCAATAGTGTCACATCCTGTTGGGATGTGGTTCTTTATCTGATGTTTAGTCTTTTTCCAGCTGAAACAAGGGTAGGAGAGGGTGGATGAATATATTATATTCTTGTTCTTATGGCTGCATTTCTGTTGGCTTAATTCAGAGTTTGAATTAAAATCTTTTGCTCTGTTACTTTGCTACAGAGGGATTCTCAGTTGGTGATCCAAGTAATATTTATTCAAGAATTTCAAAATGTATATAGACTCCCCCCTCCTTGCCTTACAGGTTTAAGTTGTAATCTGTTGGGGCATGTAAAAAAAAAAAATCCGTTGGTGTTTGTGAAAATGCAAAACACTAAGCTGATTGGTTGGGGGAGCTAGCTGAGCCTGAGAGTTTTGGCAACAGTTACATTTTAAGGCTTGAGCTGTGCAAGAGCTTGCCCAGATAGAGAGACAGTTCTTGCTTCATGAACTGCTGGAAGATGTTTTTCCATTTGGACAGCGAAAAACCATTTTAATTTCTCTAAAAGGACATTGTGAGAGTCAATGCAACTGTTCACATGATTGTATATATGTTGCTCTGCATTACAAAGAGTAAACTCCTTGTTCTTCACTGATCATCTGAATGACATATTTTTCTTTCTCTGGCAAGTCAGCGTGTGGACTGGTAAAACGTGATTTTCATTATGCCACATAATCTACAGATAGATCCATATAGGTGTCAAAATACTAAAACTTTAGTCACCACAGACTTAGGTTGGTAACATTGCATGGAACTAGAGTTGGAAGAGACCCCAAGGACCATGGAGTCCATGAATTATACTCCGAACACTCCTAACAGATGACTGTTCAGTCTCTGTCTAAAAAGCCCCAAAAAAGGAATTTCCCCTGTCAAACAGCTTTTACTTTTAGGAAAATTTCCCTAATGTTTAAGTGGAATCTCTTTTCCTGCAGTGTGATTGTTTTTCCATATCTTTTCCGAAATAGTAGAAAACAAGACTTCTCCCTCTTCAATATGACATCTTTTCAAATATTTGTACGTGGCTATCATCTCAATCTTAAACGTATCTAACTGCTCAAGCCACTATTCATAGGGCTAGGCTTCCAGACCTTGGATCAGTTTGGCTCTCCTCAGGACATATCCCAGCTTGTCAATATCTCTCTTAAATTGTGGTGCCCAGAGCTGGACACAGGACTCCAGGCGAGGTCTGGGTAAAGTAGAATAGAGTGGGACTTTGACTTCCATGGAATTTTACACTATACTCTTATTGATGTAACATAGAATTACATTGGCCTTTTTAGCTGCTGCATATTTAGCTTATGGTTTACTAACTTCTAAATTACTTTCAGGCGAACTTTTATCAAGGCAAGTGTCACCCATCCTATATCTGTGCATTTCATTGTTTCTATCTAAATGTACGTATTCCCTTACATTTCTCCCTGTTGAAATCCATTTTGTTAGTTTTGGCCCAGCTCTCTAATCTGTCTAGGTCATTTTGGATTCTGATCCTGTCCGCTGGGATATTAGAGATCCCTCTCAATTTGGTGTCATTTGGTAAGCATGCCTTCTATTCCATTATCTCAGTCATTTATTTATTTTTGGTCTATATTTCTTAATGAAAGAATGGTGGATTTTAATAATCAGGGTTGACACTTCGGTTGCTTCTATATACTGTATATGTTTTGTAACAAACGCATTTATTTTACAACTTAAGATCTAAGTATTTCAGACATAAAACACACGAAAGTTACCATAATGTCAGAACTTCTCTTCACAATTTATTTTCAATTACAAAGGATGTTGCATACATTGATGAGTTTGTATCTGAATAGAAATGCTTGGGCTCAATGGTGACAGAGTAAACAAATAATTTTTTGAATTGTGCCTTTTTTTTTTTAAAAAAAGGGAAAATTACACAACATTAAACATTATAAAAGTTGCAAACAGATCATGCTTTTAAACAAGATTTTTTTTCTAAACAAGACAAGATCTTCAATACATTTTCTGAGCTCCAGTTGGAAATGGACTACAGAATGTTAACAGCATTACAAACATGATCCCAAGCATATAAGCTGTTAATATTGGTGTTTTTCTTTGCCTTTTAAAATGTTGCTGTGTTTTGTAAGTGCCATCAGCCTTACATCCCAACCCTAAAACCCTCATTTTGAAGCATATAACATTTAGTGGGCCCCACTTCCAGATAAGTATACTTAGGATTGTAGCCATAGTTCACTTTGAAAATACAAATATATCAAAATGCATATTCAATCTGTATAAAGCAGGGCAAGATGTTGAAAATTCAAATGTGTGGAATAGATTCCAAAAACAATGACTAGACATTACTTTGTTCTTCATTTCTCAGAGGGAACTAAGCTGCTTTCATATTTAGTTAAAACTACCTTGATTCCCTTACAACCCTCTTATCCATGGATTTAAAAGTCACTTACCCACACTTCAAAAACATGACTCCCATCCCCAGAAATGTTTGTGGGCCTCTCTAGATATTCCAGTGTGGTTCCATGGTACGCTACCAGCCTGAGTATAGTCAAAATATAGGGTTATCCAGTTTCAGGCATCCATGGGGTCTTGGAACAAATCCTCTGTGGATACCGGGGTCATCCTTTACTTAATTTTTATTTTTATGTGAGTGGCTAATACTCATGCTTATATGAGTGGGATCCTGACTTGCATGCTTGCATACTAACTTGTTAAAGTAAGACTTAACTTCAGCTGCTCTTTAATTCTTTATTATGCAAAAGAATCTTGAAGCACCCTACAGAATAACTGAGAATGAACTTGTTAACCTGAGCTTCCACAGACTAAGCTACTTTTTCAGATGCAAGATTTTCTGTACAAGGGCTTATGCTACCAACATCATTCTCACAGTCTCTAAAGTGCTTCAAAATCCCTTTGCATACATATATTCCAAATGAACACAGCTTTGTCTATGCATTTTAATCTTTAAATAATATATAGGCAAACCTAATTTATTCAAGTTACTGCATGTATGTGGTGCTTAAGAATATGTTTAAAATTCAAACCTAAAAGTCTAAATCCAATGGCTACTCCTAATTAGAATAGGTCCATTGACTCTAGGAGATGTACATATATAGGCGCTGATAGCAATGGCTATTAACTGGAGCAGTTAACAAAATCCTCCGTGTTCAGAAGCATGTTAAGACACTGCAATAAACAGGGAATATCAATTACTGACTTACTACCAAAAGTATCTGATTAGCTCCTGAAGACAATGACTACTGAAGTTGAGTTTTTACTTACTGCTTTTCTAAAGGTACTGAGGCTACAACCCTGGATACATTTAGCATGGAAGTAAGACCCATCCAGATCAAATTGGATTGCTTTTTAAAAAGTGTGTTTAGGATTGGAGGAAAAAATCAGAATGCCCTTGTGTGAAAACCTAAAGGCTGCATGAACACCCATTTACTATATGAAACCCAATTGGGGAAAATGAAGATAACAAGAACATAATTATTGATGAGATTCAATGAAGTTTAGAATTCTGTGAAGGAAGTATATGCTAAAGTGCCATTTCTGCAATGTAGACAAATCATTCCATTTGCACTGGAAATATCCCTAAGTATTGTTCTCTCAATGTGATAATGCCCTGAAATGCATTTTTAAAGGAATCAGCTTTCAGATTAATTCTTGATTGAAATGTGTTTTGCACAATCCCTTAGGGAAAACAAAATAGAAGCAAACAAACAAATAAACACACCCTGCACACATGTGCAAGAGTCAGCTACACCAAAATGTAGGCTTCCACTGGTAGCAGATTAAACTAGATGATTCCATAACTAGAACCTTACTTTCAAAAAAAGAAATAATGATTAGACATAAGTAAAATTCAGGCCTGAAGGCCTGAACTTCTGTTATTATGTACTTTGACTGTGCCTCAACCTAGAATTCCAGGAAGACTGCTAAAATAAGTCAAGGAACAGACTGGCTATGCTATTCTGCTGAAGGCAACTTGTAAGAAAACCCATCAAAAACAGATAGGAGGCTATTACCATTTTAAAACTAGCTATATTTAAAAGACTTACATAAGAGAAACAATATATCAGTTATTGACATTTGTGAATAAACAAGCAGATTTATTAATAAAGGCAAACATCAGAAAAATGGTACAGACTTAAGTGAAACCCACACTGACAGTACGGTATTTGAGAAATGTCTGTTGCTTTAAGATTATTCAAGAGACCTTTAATCAGTTATAGAAATAGTTTTTGCTCTTTCCCACAACACTTCAGTCTAAGTTAAAAACAAATTACTGACCAAACCAATGAACTTGTTATACCGGTGTCTGATTCCTACAAGAGTGTCACTGTTTGCACTGATGCTGGACAAGCGTGGAAAGAGCCAGCCCTGAACTAGCCAGACGACTAGTACTAATGAGCCCCAGAAAGTTAAATATCAAGATGTGCTCGATAAATTCAAGAAAAGGCAGAAAAGCTTTTGTAAAATGTAGTGGAATTACTATAAAAAATCCTGTTTTCCAAGACCACTGAAAAATTGGTCACCCTATGCCAGTACAAACTATCAATACAACTTTAAATCAGATCTATTTGAAGTTCCTTCATGATGCTTTATTGTACTTTGCTTCCAAAAGGGTTCAAGGGCTTAAGGAGTCCTGGGGAATGAAAAATAAACTTGGTTCTAATATACAAGTAAGGCACAATATAAAGCCACATCATAATCTGTCAATGAAGAAAATGGGCAAAGGACAAGAACTATACATGGTACAGAGTAAGTAGATCATTATATCTGTTCAAAAATAGAAGTGTGGCACTCAGTTTCAGACCGACATTTTTTTTAGCAAGAGCATGCTTTAATATGGAAACAAACTCTAAAGAATCCAGTGTATGAAAGAGTTTAGTACTTCTTTTAAAAATAAAGCGTGTAATTGCTTTTGGATGACATTAGGATATTCACAATGCCTACACTCAAAAAGTGACCAAAGACTTCAATAAGATCCACATACCATGTATGAACACTGAGAACCTTTAGGGAGTTCCTCTAAAGATAATCATCCAAAAATGCATGCCACAGTTTTTCCAAACAAAACATGAACATTTGGTTGTTTTTTTTTTAAAAAATAATATTTGTGATAATTATACACTAAACGTATATTCAATGACACTAGAGGAAGCAGATTGTTACTGGCATTAAAAGTACAACCATTTCTAGACTGTTTTAAATGCCACAGAGTCCCCTGGTTAAAATGTAAAGCTGCACAGCTTGCCTATGTCATCTTTACAATAAGGTTAAACCAGCAAAGGTCTTGTTTTTTACTCTACATTTTACTGCCAGGTTTTATTTAGATCAAGTATCGCTGCAGCATTCTGACCAGCCCAGAGTTAGCAGCAAATGGCAGGAATCATATAAAATGCAATATATTTTTTTCTTTTTTAAACAAAGTGCTTTTCTAAGATATACACACATATATAAATAGATACAAAATAAAGTGTCACCATTAAAAAGCTCAACTATTTAAAAGCTTTTTGACTATAACTTAATACATAGAAAACACTGAAATGCAAGGGTACGGAATCCACTAAAGATTCAAGGTCTGTTTATCAATGCTAGATCAAAATCATATTCTGGTTTTCTGACATGCACAGACACAAAAAGCTGCAAAAGCAGTTTTAGCTCAGAGGAGCCTGAACTACCATAAAAGGGATAGAATATCTTACTGTCAGTTTAGCTTGACACACATTGTTCAGATTGCCAAATAGCAGTATCAATTTTAGGGAGCATCCTTTCCATGCTGTTCTGACCCAGTGTCAGGATCACAGCCATGAACGGTATTTAAATACCCTTTGAAATACCCTAGTGAAATGAAACACTATGTCAAACTTGGGAGGTATATGTAAAATAGTCAGAAGGCATAATTCTACAACTTGGAAGCCAGATAGAGCTCTTGATACACCAGCATTATTTCAGGCTCACAGACACACAACTACATTCCTCAAAGATCTTTATGCCACACTGACAAGCAAGCTTCAGCTGACATTTTGCAAACATCTGTGATATTCTTTTTAAAAAGATAAGAGAAAGAAGCAGTATGAAAGAGAGGGAGGAAAGGTTTGGGGTAAAATAGAACTCTGTAGTGGTATATTGGCCTTCCCCAAAACATTGTTTGTGCACCACCAGCAATGGCACAGATTCCAAATTTCCATTTAGGTGCAAGGAATCACACTACATGTATTTATAAAGAATTAAGGGAAAACCTTCACAAGCTACATCTAAATTATTTGGTATGCTTAGTAAACAGTGTCATAGAGTCATCTATGTGTCAAGCAAAGGGGAAGAAAGGCATTCATGAAACCAGATAATGATCCTGTCTTGACATAAACAACTTTCTCATTGAGAGATAAAGCTTTTCATTGGTACTTTAACACTGACTAAAAGCAGACTCTCATGAGTCAAACTTCACACACGTTTGTATTCACCCAATCATAGAAACTACGAGTTAACAATAAGTCACATAGAAGTTTGAAGAAGCTAGTTGAAATATCTGTACAAAAATATAAAATCTATAAATTCTTTTTTAAGCCTGTGTTGATCCTTGGAAACATCACATGCACAATAATACAACAACTGGAAAAGTGGCAACTAAGGAATTTAGGTATTTGCAGCTTTTCGTTCTTTACATATATACACATTATAATAAAAATATTTTATTTTGGTTGTTTGGTGGAAGTATAGTACAAGCTAAATTTTTAATTCCCAAAGTTAAACTCTGTTCTACCAGTAGCTTACTAAAATCCAAATATATTAAAATTTCTACTGTAAGTGCAGAAAAAAGGATTTACAGACTTCTAGATGCCCAACTTATCTACTATGAAGCCAACTAGAGGAACAGCAAAATAATATTTATGTATGAACGCTCCTTCTGTAGATAATTGGACCCAAAGAGAAAGAAAGAAATTCACAGTTCAGTAAGATCCCTAACCCTGACCTTTAAGTTTTTTTTCTTTTTATACATTCAGTACAGTATCATGTAAGCTGTGCAAAACTTTACTTAAACTGGCAGTTTGCCATATCAGTTGCATTTGTCTTTGGTACAAAAATAAACAATCGCATTAATGTGCAAGTATTTGTTTTCTTCCGGCCAAGTACCGAAAATGAGTTTTCTAGAGCCATCTTTTTATACAATACATAGACTCTGTGGCATATCTACATTTTCAACATATTCCTATATACATTCAAACATTTGTAACAGCTGGAACAAATACATTAAAATCCATGAGACCATCTGTACATCTTCAATTCCCAACAAGGTTTTCTCATCATACAAAATCTTCACCATTTATGGTTATACTTGTCCCCCCTCCCTCCCCCATTACAAGGCACAAAGAGTATACATTTTTTTCTTACTTGCACAGACATTTAAATACCGTGAAAATTATGGTTTTTTTTAATATGGCACACTAGCTTTATGCCAGGTGTGCTATGTACAAATTATGGTTGCAAAGAAAACTTACTGTTTTAATTTAGAACAAAAAAGCAATAATTCTTGGAAAAACAACATGAGTTTACACTTTTGATTTATTTGGAGCATAAACCTGCCTTAATGTTTGGCATTTTGTGAGATTTTTGTTTGCAAAAATATGTTTTGCTTGTATATAAGTTATATAGTCTGGTCCTAGATAAACTTAAGTTTGAAATGAGTATGTAGCCATCACCCATTTATGCCAGAAGCAGGCTTAAAACTACAAGGTTTATGCTCCAAAACACATTAAGCATTTTACATCATGCTTTCACCTATTTTACTACATTGTTATTAAAAGAAGAAAAATGATGGAACTTAAAATTGTGTTTTACAGAATGCTAAATCCGCATGCAGACCTGAATAAATTTTACAATGTAGTACATAACACAGGCAGAGCGCTGTCCAAACTGAATGGATAAAGTGATGTCTACTAAACTTTTGATGTTGGTATTCGTAGTCCTACAAGACCTCCTGTAGGATCTCCTTCTGCGGTTTTTTCTAAGACCTGGTTCACAAATTCTGACGTTTGTCCAGACACTGGTGGCCCTGGAAGAATGAACAAAGAATTATCCTCAAAACCATACTTAGAACATCTCTGTTCCATTTGGCATACTGAGTCTTGGGTGCTTACAGATAAAGGACTCCCAAAAGCCACCAATCGAAAGACTGTATGCAACTATTTCATCTTTTCTCATAAAAGAGAAAGAAAAACGATGGAAGGAGCTAGTGTTACAAACAGAAGACATTTGGAAAAGCCACTCTGTGATGCTAAGATGTGTTTTAAAAGATCAGAGATGTAAAAAAACAAAAAATAATTTGGAGTACTGTGCACAATATTAGGGTAGCCAAAAGACAGATAAACAGGGTGTTGACCAACTGGAAAAGAATCAGAGAAGAGATAAAATAATGTAAGAAAGCATGAAGTGTGTTTTGAAGAAAGGGGGATCACATAGGGGGGAAATGTGAAATTTCGAAATTACTAAAGTAACAAATAACTATTTTAGGGGCTGAAGTTAAAATAAAGACAAAATAAGAATAACAGATTTCAGTAACACCACAGAAAAATGTAGACACAGTAACAGTAAAAACAAACTATAGGAGCAAGCTTTCTCCTGAGGATGTTTGACATTTCCTTTACAGTTATCAAGTTCAGATTGGACAGGTGCCAGTCAGAAATACAGGTTTGCATTAGATCTTTCCATCTCTAATCCCAGTATACTGTATATGAATAACAAAAAGCTTTGTTTAAAGTCACGCAATTTGAACTAGCATTATTTGCAATGCTAAAATGAAAGGAGTCTTTTCATTTGTTGCTCATGAATAGTACTGCATTTGATTACTTACCAAGAGTATCTTTAATAAGGACATCAAGCTTCTGACCCATATTGGATACTCTGTCATCTTTAGGATTCTGAACTCTATTTACAATTTCTTGCTTGATAGAGTTGATCACAAACAGTAAGTTATCTACAGAAGAGATAAAGCAACAGCGTAAACCTACCACAATGCAACACCTTTGGGAAAGAGGACTTAATAGCTTTTCAATTCAAAATGTTCAGAGCAAGTCACAGCAGCAAATAACAACATAGCAGAAATGCAAAAGAACAGCTAAAAATAGCCAGAACAGGAAACATATGCCATGAGCAACAAATCCAAAACAGTTTTTGCTTGGCACCTAGAAGACTTTTATACTGGAACCAGGTGAGCACCTTGTGGAGGAAGTTCCACAAGAGAGGCACCCATAACTTAGACCACTGCTTCTTAAACAGTGGGACCTGAACTCAAATGGGCTCCTCTTAGCACAATGCTTGGGTCTCTAAAATTTTGGCAACAGCATAAGGTTTCAGAATGCCACCGAGACGTTTATACAAATCTGTAAGCAACAACATTATAGTGGGCTCTTCAGAAATGGCTTCAGCTGTATTCCACAAAAAGAAAAACCAGCCTGTTTCGCAGCCTTGGAAATGCTGATTTACTATCAGTAAATGTTTGGTTTCTATACCTACTTTATATATATGCATATACCTGAGTTTATGCAAAAACTACCAGGAGGAAAGGGGCTGCAAGTGGGAAAAGTTTAAAACCTTGACTTAGAAGACCCTCTCCCACATTGCCCATATTGCCTTTTGGTAGGAGTGATAAAAAAAGTCTTTGTTCACAATTAAATCTTTAATGCTCTCGTTATCTTCTATAGACAGATTAACCTACCAATTAAGCATTTAGACACGTGCCCAAAAGTCAACAGTAGAACTTGATGGCTTACTGTGACAAAACAGCATGCTTAAGAAAACAATCAGGCTTCAGAGTATTATTGAACTGACAAGAAACCTCATATGGTTCAGGAAACAGGATTACAAATGAAAGGTTTTCCCTGTTCAAAAACTTACCATATTCAGTATTGAGACCCCATAGTTTTACTTTGTTAGCTTCATATTGAGCTTTCTTCTTCAACCGGCAAGCCCTGTGAGATTGTTAAACAGAAAAAGGCAAGTGAAGATATCCACCCAGTTACAGAGAATTTATAATGCACACAACCTAGAAGTCATGACTGCTATTATCTAGTAGCCAAGACACTGTGAAATAACTAATATTTTGCTTGTAATGTTCCCTTTTCCTGACAAAATTAGCACACATCCACAAGTATTTATGGCAAACTTTCCATCACTGAGTTTTATGCCATCTATAAAAATACACTGTTACGTTACCAAAATATTTCTGGCAGGTTGCACAAACCACATCAGGATAAACTGAAAAAAACTGATTGAATATGAAATTTGAAAAGTTGTTGAGAGAGAAAAAACTGGCAACCATATGCACAATTCTCTTTAGGTCCATCTTCTCAGGTGCAAAGATCAGACTTGCATGATGGATAAATTAGATGCTTTGATTTCTTCCTGATACATCTGCCTAAAAAAGCATGCCAAGGCTTTCCCTTGGAGAGGGCATAATCTTAACAGGAAGCGATTTCATTATTTATATTTCATGCCTCGTTACCTGGAAGCCAGCTTGTTTTTTTCTTTCCTTGACCGTGGTCTAGCTGTTAATGGAAGTTCGCTGACTGGGGTCAAATCACTGATGACTTTATTTAACTTCCTCAATTCATTCCCAATCTGAAGTAGTTTTTTAGGATTAGGTGTCAGATCTTCCACATCAGTCCTCCGAGACTTCTTTACAGCATACTTGCCTTTTAAAATACAAACACATGAGGTTATCTAATAGGTTGCAAGGATATACTCAAACTATATAAATACTTTTTAATCTACATGTGCTACTTTCACAGTACTATACAGAATCCGATTTGGCTGAGAGAGTTGTACAGATCATTGGATGCAAAACAGAAAATAAAACAGAAAGTTTTGGGCACAAGAGGGAAAGCCAGACAAAATTATCGCTACACCGCATACACTATGTGATGTTCTCCTTATTTTAAAATGTGTTATATGCTCTCTGAAAAGATAGCTATTTACATTTAAAATGACCACCAAAATGACAGAAATATATAAAAGCAAACATAAAATTATTAGTCTGTATCTACAGCAAAATCAGAAATGCAGACCTTTAGCAACTGTCAGCATACGGTAGAGAAACAAGAAATATTGCGACTACAAGAGTAGTGTGAACTCTTGTGGCTTTTTCTGACAACCAATAACCCCACCCTCTCAATAAATTGCCAAGATGTAAAACAAACAGGTACAGTGTAAGAAACTGCTTTAAAACATTACGGACAGCTGCAGAGAATAGATTTCTTGCTGGCTCCATTTCTCTTTAATTCAGTCCACATTATTTTTCTCTTGACTATATGTTATACTCCAACTTGAGACAGAGGAAGACCGAGGAAGATGTTCCACAAGCAGTTCAAACAAATCAAAGTGTTCATACAAGCTTTAGAAAGGGCACACACATGCATTGCAAGCAATGGATTGCAACCTACTCAACCTATTGAGTATATCCTTGCAACCTACCAGCAAATTGCTCCTTACCATGATGTAGCCCATTCTTCTGATACATGTTACTTGGCAATGTATCTCGATTCCATTCTGACGGCCTCAGCATTTTCTCTTGTTGTGATGGCGTCAGCTGCTCACTGTATTCCCAGAAGTATCTCCGCTTGCCTCTTTTTCGACAAGATATTGCAGTCATTTCTTTCAAGTCCTCCACAGAATCATTTTCATACCCTAAAATATATATATAGAATTTTAGCTCTAACTTTTTTTTCAAAGCAAGAATACCAGGCCTGGAGGAAAGAGGCCACACTTAGCAACAGGGATACAAAAGAGAGAGAAGAATAAAAGGAGAATGGGGCTTTGAACAGTGGAAGAAACTGCCAACCTGCCAACCCTTCTTCAAGCTCACTGCTGCTGGAGAAATGTCAGAGCTTTTATTTGGCAACCTGCTTCCAGATGCGAAGTCGGGGAAGGCCTTTTCAAGAGTCCACATCTTAAGTGGAGTCTGGAGCCAACTTCACTTCCCTGCCATCTCTGCTTCTCTTTCAATGAATGCTCACTTTAGTAAGATTGCTACCTCTTTTGTTTTAGAAAAGGCAAATGTTCGTATATAGGGAATGACATACAGTGCATATACAGGCATGAACAAAAGTGTGAAGTGGAATCACTCTGTAGATCCTTTGATGATTTTTCCTTTGATTTCCATACTAGAAACCGCCGTGGTATTCTGTCTGAAAAAGTAAACTCCCAACTTACTATTTCTGAAGCACCCTCAAACTCTCATTTTCTAGGTTCTTGTGGGTTTTTTCGGGCTATAGAGCCATGTTCTAGAGGCATTTCTCCTGACGTTTCGCCTGCATCTATGGCAAGCATCCTCAAGGACCAAGGAAGTGACATCTCCAGCCTAGCCTCTGTTTGGATATCAGCCAGCATGCCAATGTCTTAAATCAAGAAATAGCTTTTTAATTGGCAGGAGGTTGCATCTTGTTAAAGGGTAATACCTGCAGGAACACCTCAGCAAGTGAGAGTCCAAAAGTGGCAGGTTAAAACCCGAAACCTCAAACAATGGCTGATACCCGATGAGCAACTCCCTCCTGGGGACACAGAAGGCTGGGCAACTTGGAAGGCACTGAACAGACTGCGCTCTGGCACCATGAGGTGCAGAGCTAACCTTAAGAAATGGGGCCATAAAGTGGAGTCCACAACATGTGAGTTTGGAGAAGAGCAAACCACAGACCACCTACTACAATGCAGCCTGAGCCCTTCCACACACAATGGAGGATCTTCTTACAGCCACACCAGAGGCACTCCAAGTGGCCAGTTTCTGGTCAAAGGACATTTAGTATAATTCCAAGTTTTTAACTTTGTTTGTGTTTTTAAAATAAATTACAACTGTACCCTCAATTTGCTTCTGACACAATAAATACATAAAAATAAATAGAAAATAACCTTTGTACAGAATGCATTTGTGACCAGCACCAATCGTACAAAGTATAATTACATGAGATATACATAATTTTGTCAGATGACTCGTGAATGATGGCATAATAATCCTGGTGCAAAGAAAAGGCAATGGCATTTAAACATAACAAGAGGCAATACTTTCTTGAATAATTATGTTGTATTACCCTTTAACAAGATGCAACCTCCTGCCAATTACCTGAAAAAAATTATCATGAACTATTTATCCCTCTACACAGGACAAGGAAAATTATACATTCTGTGATATGTTCTATTACTAGGATAGACCAAATTTCACAATGCACAAGAACCATCTTTCCAAAAGAACTAGTTAATGCACATCATACCAAGTGAGAGCATCCTAGTTCACTCTAGGTAAGATACTAAACACAGAGGAGCAGACAGTGTGTTCCAGGCTCTACTTCCTCCAGTCACTTAGATAGACATAAGAGATCATATTTAGCTGAAAATCAGATATTCCCATGACTGTGGTATTCAGTGTACCATTATAACAGTTATTTAAAACTCTTCTACAAACAGTGTAGCTCACTGTCTCTGCCAACATACCAATTCAAAAGGCACACACGTCCCTAAGAAGCCAAATTACCTGGTTCAGAGAAAGTATCGCTGATGTCGTCATCTTTGTCATCTTCATAGTCATCCTCCTCTTCATCATTTTCAGACAATTCATGCTCACTTCCGAAGCCCTCATCGTGGTCTTCATCATCTACATCCTCTTCTTCTTCTTCCTCTTCCTCTTCCTCTGCCTCAGCTTTGCCAGCTTGCTCACCCAAAGCATCGGTGACAAAGAGGGAGTAATTGTGTTCTTCTTTCTTCTGTGAAGGATCGGAAACAGATGTGCTGGCAGAGATGCTGCTGTCCTCTACAATATGTTCTGGAGTTTCTTGAGGTGGAGTGAGAAGCAAAGCTTGAGTCTCTTTAAAAGGCAACACAGGAGTAGTGGGAGTCTGAAGGGAGTCATTCACTTTCCGCTCTTGCTTCTTTGCTACAGCTCCACAGTAGCAAGTGTTTTCTTTTGCAGCATCAGAATTGGCCTGGTTCATGGCAGACCTGATCTGGTGGGCTGGGTTTATCTTTACTTTTGCCTTTTTCACATAATCTTTACATTCTACATGAATGTTCACCTTCTCATTGCTGTACACATTGGTCTTCACCATGATTTGTGTGCTTGGATTAGGTTTGCTTGCTTTTTGGGAAAATTCTGATAAAGGTGTCTCAGCCTGTGCAGTTTTTGATGAGCAAACTGGAGCTGCTGCTCTGGTTGCGATTTTCTTCATTGGCAAAGAAGTCAACTGAGTTTGTTTTACGCTGAACAGCAATTCCGGGTAGCACAGTGGATCTGAGACCGGCTGTGAATCCTCACTGTTGAGCTGTGCCAGGGTTGGAGTTTTACTTATCACTTCTTCATCCTGATATGGGCTTGAAAAATCATCAAGGCCCAAATAGTCCACCTCTTTTGTTCCCCAAATGTCACAGCTGGTTAACTTGGTATACTTTGTCAAATCCTCAGAGTAAGTGTCCCATTGTTCCCAATTTGCAGGGAAAGATGGTTCAGTGTCTAGGATATCTGTGAAAGACTCTAAGTTCTCAAGATCTTTGCAGTCCTCCACAGAAAAGAGGTTGTCCCTGGAGCTTGGCTGGTAATCCATTCCTCTGTCCTGTAGGCACATTAAAGAAGGCAGTTACACAGCAGCACATTTAATTTATCCCCCTACCCTCCAGCCCTAGCGGCATTTCTCAAAGGTTAATGTATCAGTGAAATTGATCACGCATACCTTCAAAACTATAAATATCTAGCAGGAATAATACAAATGTAGTAATAAAAATACTTATAAGGCAGTAAGCCCCACCACCACTCCAACTAAACAGTATGAAGTCTGCTCAGCAGGTCCTTACTAGAAGGTATTTCAAAGATCCTTTTTTAGTGTTTCTGTCAGTTTTTCATTGTCGAGAGGCTCCTGTCATTGTGCTGATGAATTCAGCCTTCCTCAACCAGTGATTAAATTCAACAGAAATGAAAAAAAACCAACAAAAAAACACTTTGCTGGATCTTGATAAAGTGAAAGCTATGCTGTACACAGTAAAAAGAAAGTAAAAGTAGCTTACCAATTCATACATGAAGTCTGGGTCAGAACTGTTGGCCAAGAGATCTGTGCTCATCAGAGTCTGCTCTGAAAACATGTGGCTTCGAAAGGCATCTCCAAAAGGAGGATCCATTCCACTCACACTAGGCTAAAGCAAATGATAAAAATAATTTGAAATGTATCACACTTTCTTTATTCCTTTAAGAACAAGAAGCTTAAAAAAACCTATTGCATAGAAGAAGACATGCATACAATTCGGCTGTGGTTTTTATGCCAGAAAGTTGTTGCACTGGAACAAAGTGCTAAGATTTACACCTGGCCTTGACTACTTTGCTTCAGCCAATGGCCTCAATCCTCTTCACAAACTGGATTTCAGTCCTTAGGCTGAAAAAGATCCCCCCCATCCCTCAAAAGCAATACCTGCCAATTGTAAATACTGTTGTTTTGTGTAAGCTGTAAGGTCAAGTCACCCTGGAACCACTTCTGGTCGCAACCTGGGGATCACAACCAGTTACAGTGAAGACATCTGCCCTTGCGCTTTGCTACTCTGCTGCTGAGTATGCATGCCCAGTATGGAACATATCTCACCATGTTAAAACAGTGGATGTGGCTATTAATGAGACATGGTGCATTATCACAGGCTGTCTGAGCCCTACACTGTTGGAGAAATTATGCTGTCTAGCTGGTATTGCACCACCTGACATCTGTCGGGAAGTATCAGCCAAGAATGAAAGGATCAAGGCAGTGACATCTCCGACCCATCCCGTTTGGGTATCAGCTAGCACGCCAACGCCTTAAATAATGAAATAGTTTTCTAAGATCTACAGAGGTACTTCAGCAAGCGAGAGTCCAAAAGTGGCAGACTAAAACCTAGCACCTCAATCCATGGCTGATTCCAAATGAGAGACTCCCTCCTGGGCACATAGAAGACTGGACAACTTGGAAGGCGCTGAACAGACCGCTCTGGCGCCATGGGATGCAGAACCAACCTTAAGAAATGGGACTATAAAGTGGAGTCCACAATATGTGAGTGTGAAGAAGAGCAAACCACAGACTACCTATTACAATGCAGCCTGAGCTCTGCCACATGCTCAATGGAGGACTTTCTTATAGCAATATCAGAGGCACTCCAAGTGGCCAGCTACTGTTCAAAGGACATTTAATAGAATGCCAATTTTTTTAAAACTTTGTTTTCTCAAATACATTGGTTCGCTCCTGATACGATAAATAAAGTACCCTGCAGCCTCTCCAGTAACATAAACTCTGCACTCTGTCCAGTCACCACACCAGCACAACATGAACTACCTATTCCTGTGAAGATCACTCAGTTGTTCACCTAAATATCTGTTGCAACTGCTGCTCCCAATAATTACATTCTACCTCATAAAAAAGGGACAGTTTATAAATCACTTCTGTTTGGCTAAAAGATATGCAGGTGGGCCTGAATGCTTTATCCATGCATTCTGAAATATGATTTAATTCAATTCTTTTCTCCATGCTGGGTTAAACTAGATGATGAATTTAGTATGTATTTAGAAACGAACCCTGGAAATGGTGGCCAAACAACTGTTTGCCCTTGCATGTGCTCTCTGTATCTCGCATTTATTTGCACTTCCTTGGGTTATTTGTTATCAGAATGTAAACATGGGTGCTGTGATGTAAGGAAATCCCATTGTAACAACATGCTAATTGTTGGGAATATGCATTATCTTTAATTCCCATTTTGACCCTCTGCCTCTATGCTATCACTTTTTTGATCTCTCTTTATTAAGTAATATTCTGGAGATATTTATATGGAGGACCACATTTAATGCTTCTAATATTTCTACCCCAGTTGCACTTTTTCTGGCATCCTGAATGTCTCTGATAGCTGCTACTGTCTGGTACAAACAGAAACTTAAAAGTGTACAAACTTAAAAGTGAATGGTTCTTCATTACTGAACAAGAAGTTTCACTAAAAAGCAGCATATTTTTATGAATTCAATCTTTTCCATCTGAACTCACTCAAACCGACCTCTACTAAAATGTACCAAGTTCTTGCTATAGGAACAATTGGTACTTACTTGAGGCATTTCCAGGTCCAGATCCACCAAGTCCAAGTCCAAATGCTTTGTTCTGTTTCCTTGCAAATTCTGTTCCAGCTTTTCTTCAGGGTAAACAGGGAGCATATAACTCATGCAATGGCGCGTCACAGTTTTTTTTTCCTAGAAAAAGCTTCACTTCAACTACATGGAACTCTTCTTGCTTTGGAGACTTTCTGCAAAAAAACAAACCAAAACGTACATGTTTTTGAAATAACTATTCCTTGCTTGAGAATTCCTGAAGAAAGTGACTATTGTCACTTAATCCTAATATAATTAAGGTTATTATTATTATTATTATAACTTTATTTGTACCCCGCTAGCATCTCCCGAAGGATTCGATGCGGCTTACAACAGGCCGAAGCCCACACAATACAACAATACAATACATAGCAAATAAAACAGTTAAGCAGAAAACAAATACAGTAGCAATACAACAAGACAATTAAAAACTGAGCCGGCCAGGAGTAGGGTACAGGATTAAAAGTGCTGAAGTGTCAGAGGGATATGGGGTTAGAATATAAGTGCAGTGTGCGGTGAGGGTGATCTTAACTCTACTAAAGTGCTTCTGGGCTTTGGTAGTGGGGTTCCTAATCTGAGAAGGCACGTTGGAAAAGCCAGGTTTTCAGGTTCTTTCTGAAAGCCGCCAAGGTAGGGGCCTGTCTGAGATCTTTCGGGAGGGCATTCCAGAGGCGGGGGGCCACCACAGAGAACGCCCTGTCCCGCGTCCCCACCAAACGCGCCTGCGACGCGGGCGGGATCACGAGCAGGGCCTCTCCTGATGACCGGAGTGAGCGTGTGGGTTCGTAGACTGTGATGCGGTCTCGCAGGTAGGGTGGTCCCAAACCATTCAGGGCTTTGTAGGTAAGCACCTGCACCTTAAATTGGGGTAAAAGCAGATTGGACGGGGGACCTGTAAATCTTTTGGAGGGGCTCGGAATGGATAAAGCAGGCGATGCGTCAGTGGGCTCTTTAAAGATACAGGAGGGTGCCCTCGTCGTGCTGGTATGGGCCCCCAGTTAACATGTCTTGGGCCTGCGGGTTGGCCGCGCGTATGTGACCAGATTGGAAGTTTTTCCGAGCCGTTTTTAAATGGGCATCCCCACGTAGGAGCGCGTTGGCCGGGTATCCATCGTCGAGGTGACGTAAGTGCATGAGACCGTACGTGGCCCTGGCCGAAGATCATGCCTTGCGGAGGTGAGCGGGTCTGGACGGGAGGCTGGCGCGGGTACAAGTAGTTAGGTTTGTCAAGCAAGACTCCTGCCCGGTTTGGGCTCAGACCGAGAGGACGGACGGGGGGAGGGGGAGGGGGAGGAGGGGGGGGAGGTGGGGGGAGGGGGAGTGGTGGGGATGGAGGAGGAGGTGGAGAGCCTCAAGCGTGAGCGATGAGTCCAGGAGAACTCCCAAGCTGTTGAAACAACTCAATTAGATAAGTCTTAAATAAAGTATTGTTCTGTAGACGTATCATTTATATGGCCTTAAGTAGCTTATCATATACAATCAAAGTGGGAAGACAGGAGAAAATGAGAGAAATAATGGAAATTTTGGGGGCAAAGTGAGAAAGGATACATATTTCAGTGATTAAAGTTACCGGCAAGGTTAGATATGCTCCATAGCTTGGAAGACTATCCCATAATATCATGCCTACTATTTTGGCTGACCTGGAAGTGACATCTTTTTTTGGGGTGGGGATTCTATTTTTGGGGAAAAGATCTGAAAGAGTTTTCAAAACATGTTTTAAAATATCTGAAATGTAAGAGACAGTTTTTAATTTAATTTAATTTTAAAAGCTAGGAGATGGTTAGTGGAGGTCTAAAGGGCCACATTGGACCTATCTTGGGCCACATAATTTTTATTCTTGCTTTACAGAGAAGACGACTTTTGAGGATATGTGAAATATGTGGCATGGTATCATGTCATTTTTATGGAAGATATGGGGAATTATTAATCTTACTTCACTTGATGTTGGTAAGTTTTACCCTTTACCCTCTATCAGCTAGATGGCAATATCTAGAAATTAAACCTTTATTATAATCCAGATTTGGCCCTGTAGCTTTGAAGTATAGTTGAGGTTCCCTTAATATTGCAACATCTGAATGAATGACTTAGTAGACAAAATTTCTAATGCATTTATATTTGGATGTTTGATCAGCTTTAGACACTTGCAATAAATGTGATTATTTTTTCTTCTTTTGTGTTTTTATTTTGCTGCTTTTGTTATATACTGGAACATCATTTTATGTCAAAAAATCTCTTCTAAACGTAAATTAATTTTTTTCCAAAAAAGGTGAGTACAGTCATTATATATTTTTTTATGTCAGGCGCATCGTTCTGGTGTGAGAGAATCAGCTGTCTGAAAGGACATTGCCCCAGAGGATGCCCAGATGTTTTGGTGTTTTACCATCCTTGTGGAAGGCTTCTCTTAAGTCTCTGCCTGGGGAGCTGGAGCTGACAGAGGGGGCTCATCCGTGCTCTCCCAGGATTCGAATCTCCAACCTGTTGGTCTTCAGTCCTGTCAGCACAAGGGTTTAACCTACTGCGCCACCAGGGGTTCTCATTATTATTATAATGATTATTAGTTAATATTGTTGCATTCATAACCTTGGAAAAATAATTTAGCCACAAAGATGTTGGAAACTTTAGGACTATGGAAGGAAACAACAGTTTTATGCTCCAGCAGGAACAGTTTTTCACTAGTAAAAGCTGAATAAGCACTGCAAAATGACAGCAAAAATTACAATAATCCCAATTACATAGTGCTTCAATAAATTTAATTCCAATAAATAAATCAGCTACATTGTTCATTCGTTCAGTCGTCTCCGACTCTTCGTGACCTCATGGACCAGCCTACGCCAGAGCTCCCTGTCGGCCGTTACCACCCCCAGCTCCCTCAAGGTCAGTCCAGTCACTTCAAGGATGCCATCCATCCATCTTGCCCTTGGTCGGCCCCTCTTCCTTTTGCCTTCCACTTTCCACAGCTAATTGTCTTCTCTAGGCTTTCCTGTCTCCTCATGATGTGGCCAAAGGACTTCAACTTTGTCTCTAGTCTCCTTCCCTCCAGTGAGCAGCCGGGCTTTATTTCCTGGAGAATGGACTGGTTGGATCTTCTCGCAGTCCAAGGCACTCTCAGAACTTTCCTCCAACACCACAGTTCAAAAGCATCGATCTTCCTTCGCTCAGCCTTCCCTGTCCAGCTCTCACATCCGTAGGTGACTACAGGGAATACCATGGCTTTGACTAGGCGGATCTTTGTTGCCAGTCTGATGTCTCTACTCTTCACTATTTATACTAGAATGGACATTGCTCTCCTCCCAAGAAGTAAGCGTCTTCTGATTTCCTGGCTACAGTCTGCATCTGCAGTAATCTTTGCACCTAGAAATACAAAGTCTGTCACGGCTTCCACGGTTTCTCCCTCTATTTTCCAGTTGTCAATCATTCTTGTTGCCATAATCTTGGTTTTTTTGACGTTTAGCTGCAACCCGGCTTTTTTTTTTTTTAGCTACATACAGTTAAATAATAAATCTTTGCCTTGGAATTTTCAGCTAGTGCAGCTTTATTCTCCCAAGCCTGATCTTTAGGGTTTTTGGAGATTGCTTAATTAAATCTTTGTGCGAGGAACTTTCAATACACCACAAACAGCAAGATGATGCAAAAGAATATCTATAGAACAATCTATTTAGTATTATAGCATTCCACATTTGAGTTGCAGAAGTGCATTTGCTCATTAACTATTCCAGAATGAAAACGTCCCAATTAAACAGACCGATAGAAATATGTACCCTTAGTTTCTCTGCTTTTCACACAAGGAGGTAGAGCGAATGTACAAAACTGTACAAAACATTTATGAGAATAAAGACTCCATATACTGATATGAATGAAAGCTAGCATGCCTACAATTATGGAATAAATCCAATGCTTAGTCCCTACTAGAACAGACCCACTCAATCAATGGGGCAACATGTTGACATTAGACATTGCACTGATTCAAGGGATCCATAGCAGTAGCATTTAGACTTAATCCTCTGTTTCCATGTAATAACACATATTCTACATCACCCTCCAAGCCTGTTTTGTTAAAACAAAAAAGGGTAAAAGGGAATATTAAAGCTGTGGATTCTGCAAATCAGTCAGCCCTCCACATCTGTTGAGGTTACAGCCCATTTCTCAGCATCAACAGGGTTTATTATTTTCAACCTTTTCTAAGGATGAGGAAAACAGAACATGTGTTTCAAGCATGTGTATCACCCCAAGTCTATCTGCTGTGAATAAAGCCAAAAAGAAAACAATTAAGTGTGTATCTGAAAGAGAAATGGGGACTAAGAATATCAAGAAATGAACTTTCCTTTTGCAAATTTACAAAGCCCAAAATACATAGGACTAAGAACATACTTCAATATTTTCAAGATCTTCTTCTGTATCAGAAGACGCCATCAAGGCCAAATCACATGAAATACTGATTACTGAATACAATTAAGACACACACATTCTTTTAGACACTTACAAGTTCTGGTGTACTTGAAGAAGCAATTTACAAAATGAATACACATTAATTGTATTCACTGTAAACTGCATGTTTATTTTTCCCCCAAAGATGTCAAAAGCTGCATTAAATTGCAAAACCATTTTTAAATGGAATTTAATGCCAAAATGCAGACAAATGGTGCACAATTTGCCTATTCCACATAGTGGTTATATGCATATGAAAGTTTGTAAGTTACCAGGCAGCACGCTCTTACATTGCCCAGAAGAAGCATATATAATTTAATCCCTATGGTAAAAGAGGCATTAAATGTGAAATATGCAAGTGTGCTTTTTATTTTTTTTAAACCTACCTTTCCTAGACACAGTAAACAGACCCCATTTTTTTTGCAGAGAACGTGATTTCTCCCTAACATTATGTGTACCTTTTGGAGATGTGCTTACTTCTTATCATCCTGAGTGTGGCTGGACAGATTTGTTTGATGTCAAGTCTGACAAACCTTGATAGATTTATACAAATTTATTCATGAATAGTTCTGCTAACTTACGTTTTTTCATACAATCTGGGCATATGTTAAGACACACAAATCTCTTTCACCTAAAACAGGTTGATAACTGGGAGTGCACTATTTCTGGAAGAAGTAATTGTATGCCAGGGGGAGGCACTTCCAGAGGGAAT